TTGTTTGAGATTGGTGGCATCTTTGTTACTCTGAGGAAGATTTCTCAGTCAGTTTGAATTTTGCCATGGTTTTGACAAGGAAAAGTGATCCATTAGTTTGAGGCTAAAATTTAAAACATTCCCTGCTTTGTTACAATGGTCTGTGTATGGATGAGTTATCCAATTTATTAAATAATAATAATGGATTAAAGCAAAACCAATTTTTTCTGGACTACAGGCAAGCAGCCATACTCTTGTGCAGCCTTTTTCTGCTACATTTATCCCATTTCAAATCACCCCCTTGGTCATGCATTTTCTGAATTACATGGTTGTGCTGGGGAAGCTGCACTTTTGCCTGTATGATTGCTGTTCCTAATTAAAATAATTAGAAACAGTGTCAACAGATGGTGCTGAAGAGCAGCAGCATCACCCTGGACTGCTGTACTATCAAAAATATTCCAGAGAACTGCAACCACTGTCACCAGCTGCTGATTACATAAACTTCCAATGATGGGTACTTCTAGAGATATTGCACTGTTTCCAGGCATCAGTGCATAATAAAAACATCATAACTTCAACAATTCATTTTGTACAGTAATAATATGTCTCTCTAATTGTTTTAAGGCATCTTCTTGAACGCCTTCTTTGGGAGCTGTCTGTAATGCAGTCTCAATTCATGCTGTCTCCTTCTTCGGAGTACTCTGAAGACTGTGATACTATGATTTAAGGGGATGAAACACACATTTCACCTGTAGTGCCAGTGAGCTTTCTGCCTTGCTGCACAAGCTCTGCTCCTGGTACTGACACAGGGAGACAGGCTGGAGATGAGCTGGGGAAACAAAGTTTGGATAGGGTGATGTCACGGCCCTCAGTTCAGTGATACTGTCCCCAGGCCATACATTCAAGATGAAGATACCACAACTGTTCCCAGCTGGCACCTTAACAATATATCAGTCTTGAAGGGCATGGAAACCTGCTTTTGGAGACTGTTTACTCTCAGAGAGCTCTGAGAACTGTAACTTTCTTCACACTTTATATATCCAAGAGCCAGTTCATGAAAATAAAATCAATCCTCCTACTTCCAGAAAGGATGAATTCAATATTGCTTTGAGAATTTAATCAAGATTTTAAAGAAATGCTGCAACATTACTAAAACCTATACCTTTTTCTGATTTAGGCTGGGATATAATAAATTTTCTTCCTAGTAGCTGGTACAGTGCAGTGTTTTTTACTTGTGAGCAATCAGATGCAATATGTTGACCCGTGTTGTACAAGAAATCAGATTTTTCCTTCTGGCTCTTTTCTGTAAAATCTATAACTTTCAGTCTTGAATGCTCTTTAAAAAGAGAAAAATTAAATTGTATCAGGAGAGGAGTGAAGGATGCACATTTTAGATACCACTGCACACAAAATCTTGTTGAACCAGCCACAGGCTTTCCATAGCTGCCAAGAAAATCTCTCTGTGCTTCTTTCATCTCTCACATAAATTGTAAAAAATTCAGTTTGTATAGCCCCTTACTGCAGACACCAATGTCCATAAGAATAGGACATTGCACTTGGCTGGGATCTCTAGGTTTGACTTGACTCCACTCAAAACAAGCAAACTCAATAAATAAATATTGGCATCTCCAAGGGAGAGCTGAATTTCTCCTTCTGAGAACTGCAGAGAGCTCAAGACAGTGAGGCTCCAATAACTTGGATGCTGTTTGTCTGATGAATATATGTTTAGGTGTAGCCTCAAGCTAAACATTAAATCTGCAACATCACAGCTCATTGGACTTTCATCAGGTATAACACTGAAATTGCTAGAAGTCTGTATTTTGGTGAAAGACCAAACCAGTCGCAGGATCCTTCACGCTGCGTTTTCTAGAATCTCTGCTTGCTCAAAATTGTTCATGATTGATCACAGAGCATGTGCAGTTTCTCTCTGTCAAACCTCCTGAATTGATTGAAATAGATTGTTCCAAGACAAGCGTATATATAACACAATGAAATATCCCACAATAAATAGTGTGAATGAATGGTGCTGACAAGAACTGATGTGCTTGTTCCAGACATCACATCATACAGAACTGAGTATGTGCAACCTAGAAAAGGTCAAAAACCTTAAAATAGCTGATGTCCACAAGCCCATCCTCTCCCTCAAGCTCTAGAGATGTTAGGACTCAATTAGTGCCACACTAATTTCTTGCTTCCCAACACACCGTGACATTTTGATGCCAGATAACTTTTGCTGTTTTGTAACCAAACCTTGGAGGAAGGCTGGATGTCGCACATTTTTATTTGGATTCTTGTGTTTAATACAAGTGACAGATGGATTTATTTTTTTTTCTTCCAGCTTGTTCCAATATTCCAGAAAGATTTATGTTAAAGACTCACCCAGGCACCTTGTCTCAGAGGTACCCGAGGATCTGGCATATGTGATTCCTCAACCGAACATTTGTTTCCCCACAAGCAATACATTTGTCACTTGTGCTCTGAAGCAATGCATCTTTCTTCAACAGTCTGCACCCACTCCCTTCCCATTCATGGGACAGACAGCAAGGACAACTGATATATCTGGCCCCCTCCCACACAAAGCAGGTTCAAGGGGCCAGCACTCCATGCTGAGGACTCTTTAAGATCAGGCTTCAAGTACCTCAGGTGCCCAGAGCTTGGACCACACCATGGTGCTGGTTTATGATGCAGAACTCTTCTACAAGGCAACTTTGTCTCCTCTCCACCCAGACAGCTATTCCACAGGGATGCAGTAGAAATTTAAGGTGATGAAAGGCAGGATACTAGGTGTGCATGACCACCAGTATGTGGCTGGCCACTGTCCCAGGTTGCCGGATGAGGTACCTGCATCCAGCAGGATCACAAGGACATGAATGGGAGCCATCATGAGGATGGCAAGAGCACAGAGTCATTGACAGGATTGACAAAAAATATCAATCTTGTCCTCACTGAGAGCTTGAAAGACCTTCTTAGTGACATTAGCATGTGTGAATCTCAGCTACCCCACAATATTTCAGGAAATCTTTTGCATGGCGTAAAATAACAGCATAAGAAATTAAATCACAGTCTGTATCTGTGAAACAGTTTTAAAGTTTTCAACTCAGAATATGTGTCAAATCACTAAGGTATCCCAGTGTCCATGCTGGGGAATCTAAGCTGCCCCACACTGCTCCCCTCTCCTTGCAGCTCAGCAGAAGCCCTGTCTGGCCCAATTTGCTTGAATCAGATTCCAACCTCTTATTACAGTCAGATTTTAAAACCCTTGGAAGAAAAAATCCAGGCTGTGGATTTTAAAACATACAACCCATGTTTTACACAATTTTGGTTTCAATGGTCTATATGCTGAGATGTGCTGCCTGAGCACTCACACCACAAGATGCTCCTGTGTTTTGAAGACAGGCCAAAGCCTGAGCCAATACACGCGCTCTTCCCATGTACTTTCAGATAAAATCTACGTTATGTTGCACTGATCTGCATTCTGATGTTACTACCACATAATTTTAGAAAATAAAATAAATACTATCCCCCCTCAAAAGGAGCATTCTCCATGGGAGAGGACCCAAATGCTTTCCATAAAACATCAGCACCTGTTCACACTTCTGTGCATGAACGACACAGTGAAAAAGCAGCAATTGTTGCTGTAGTATCTGTTGAACTTTTGTCTTCCTTTTGTAAATAACAATCAGGTAAGACTGTTCCTAGAAAATTTTGCTTGAATAAACTACACCAGAAGCACAAACCCAGACAGTGTCATTTGATCACCAGTATCTACAGAAAATGTTGTATTTCCTTCTAGAGCAAAGTTTAGCCAGTAAAAGGTTTATTTAGTGGGCAGAATTAATGAAAACAATTTTGAGCAGAAAAGAAATCCTAGCTTAAAAAATAAGCAAACCAAGACCAACTGCCCAGCTGCTGAATACTTTATTCTTTTTTTACTTCATACACCTGAGCTCTTAAGGCTTGTACAAAATATAAAATAAAACCTCAGTATGGTTTTACTGATCTTAAAACTGCAGCCCTGTATTTTTTCATCATTTATTGTAAATATAAAGAGAATTATGAAAACTGCCAGTATATCTACTGAAAGCACCTAACCTTTTGGATATTATGTCATTATTGTTGCCTTGAGAGCTGGCTTAAATGATTCGATTTTTTGAAGAAATGCCAATTTTATTACAACTCTTGCAGCAGAAATGTGTCCCGTTTCAGGGAGAAATTCACTGAGAAGTGAACTTCCATTGAAACCTCATCCAGAAAAAAACCCCACTTTCAGTTCTACTGAAGAGAGGAAGAGCCTGCCTTTTCCTCCCCACAGCTAATAGGAATGCACCAAAGGAAAGGCCACAGAGAGAAACAGAAGGAATTATAAAAACACATATTCAAACTTCCCATACTAGCAAAATTCGAAATGAAATACACAATGAAGCCCCAGCGGCGACAGGGAGTGCAGCAATATGAAGAGACGAACATTTGGGTGGAATGTAGGCAGCAAATCCTTCTGCAGAGGAATGAAGTCCACTGGCACGTAAAAGGTGTGTGAATGTACTGTGGCTTGCTGAATCAGGTCCTGTGAGAAGCTGAGCAGCTTTTGCAAGATGCTGCCTGAGGGCACCCTGCACCGAGGGGTAGAAATCATGAAGCCCTCAGACAGCATCGTGCAGATTTAGGTCCCTAATGCAATATAAAACATATTTGCTTCCCATTAAGTGACCTGGGAGCTTGCTTTGGCTTAGTTTTTTCCCCCAAGCATTTGTTGTTAAGTTAATTAAGTACTTAAAAATAACAGTCTCTCACTTTCCAGAGACTCCACATAAATACTAATCTGTCTTCATCTAAAGGCCAGATTTTCTGCAAGGGCAAATCAATACAGTTTCACTGATTGAGGATCTGGCGTTAAAAGTCTAGCAAGTGCATTAAACCCAGCACAGTATGACATGTGCCTTGGCAGTTGGACAGTTCTCTGGATTAATATTTGAGGGAAATTTGGCAATTTAAAAAAAAAATCTCTGTTTTGAAGTGCTGCCATTTCTTTAACTGGTGCTGAGCACCACAGTTTCTCCTCCGGTGAACTGCACAGCCACGGCTGGGGTTTCGCCGTCGCTCTCCTCCAGCTTTAGCGCCGCGTTGTCCAGGCCGGAGCTGCTGGGCTGCGGCGGGGCCGCGGGTTCTGCCGTGTGAGTGGGAGCAGAGCAGTACAAGGTGAAGCCCACCATGATGATAGCAAAGGACACGATGTAAAGACCTGAAAACTGGCAGAGGAGAAAAAGAGATGCATTAAGTCTTGCCTGATGTAAGAACATGCCAACGCTGCCTTGTTTCAAGAATGCCAAAGCTACCCTTCCTTGTAAAAATTATTTTAATGAGGATTATCATCATGAGCTGGATTCAGGTCTGAAAACCGGAATTCAACAGCTCTATTTACTTAAAGACTTGGGCTGATTTTCTCTGCACCTCGTTCCCAAGATTGTTGGACAGGGAGTTTGCTCGTGTCTACATACAAGAATCTTAACAGAGAGAACAAATGGGTGTAAACAGTCATACTGAATGAAAGTTGTTTACTCGCGTGAATACTGGAACCCTCCATCCCTAAGAGAATTTTGATCCAGCACATCCAAGTATTTCAGGTTCTGGCAAGAGCTGAATCTCTGTGCTATTGCAAGCCACCAGAGCAGCTAGTTCTCTGGACAGATCTCTAACCATCTGCAGGGCCAGATGAGTATTATTGCTGGATCAAAACCAGTTTGCTCTCGACACCCAACAGGTCCTTGAGGGGACAGAAGCTGGGGCTCCTTTTACAAAACTGGCATTTGCAAGCTGTGAAGAGTGGTGAGAGCTACACAGTACAAATTGAAGAGGTACATCAGGCACTCTGTTGTTCACTTGCCTGTTAAAATTCCAGTAATTGCCAAGATTCATCCACCTTGACAGAAAGACAAATAATCTCTAACACCAGATTCAATAATACCAAGTGTTGAAGTTATCCACAGACAGAACACTTTTCAGCAGGTTTATTAAAATCCTCCATATTCCCTTTGTCAAACCACTGATTAAATACTAGGAGGAAAGACCAGCATATCCAAACACCTCTGTCAATATCCTCTAACTTCCTTAGCTTCCTTAGACATACTTGAAAAATATGTTCTAGTTTATCAGGATGAAATTAATGGTAGGACCTAGGCAGTGGACTCTCTTCCAAAAAAGACTGAGGCATCTACAACTTAGGCACTGCAATTCCTAGCTGGCAGTCACTTGGCTTGGAAACTCTTGCATGGCAACACACAAAAGGAAAAGCAGACTGAAACACAGTGGCCTTGTGTTAAGTGTCCTCTCTCCTCACCTTGTTGGCTGTTTGCCTGGAGGAGCTTGGACTCAAGCGCTCGCCCCACACAGGAGGAAGCATCAAGCTCTGAGCTATCCAAGCACAGGCAGCAGGATAACCCATGGTCACACCTCCCACTGACCTATTCCCAGCAAATGGGCAGAGCCTGGGGCTGTATCCAACCACCTGCACAAATTCTCCAACCTAAGGCCCAGAGTGAGCATGTCCCTGAGTGCAAGGACCCGTGGAACAGTCACAGGAACTGCAGACTCCTCACAGCACAGTGGGCAGTGAAAGGCTGGAAGTGTCTCTGATCCTGATCCTGAGTCAATTCCTCCAGGGGTGGATACAGTCACCAAGGCAGGGTGCCAAAGCTGTTGCAGTGTACATGTGACTCAAGGCCTGCCTGTATTTTTGCATTTATTGACACAGGTGTACATTACCCATGCTGCTCTATCAGACCTACACTATTTTTTTTCCTTTTGAGGAGAATTTAGTGATTTTTTTCCTGGGTTTTTTCTTTCTTCTGGTTTTTGGGTTTTTTTTTTAATTTTAAATATTGCAAAAACTTTATTGCTTCAGACACTGATTTCAGTCATACTTTGTGCAGCTGATATTCTCATTCCCACTGCTGAGCCTAGAGTACTTTAGATGTTACTGGAGGACTGTATCTCCATCTAGTGTCTGTTTGTGCAGTATACTCCCTTCTGCAGCATTTTATACAACTAATGCATGAAAAGATCTTTCTCAAGATCTCTTGCGGGATTACAAGTATCTATATAATGAGTTCATTAGGAAGCACAGCAAGGATTCGTTATGGAGTAAAAGGAAAAAAATAAAAAAGAGTTCAAAGCAAGCATGAAAAATTCACTTTTCACTTGAAACAGACATGGCTGGGGCTAAAAAGTTAAGTGCATTAGCAAAACACTGTGCACAAATCAAAACTTTATCAATTCCTGGGCCTGGTCTCTGGTGCAGCCACTGACTGTGGTTCTTTTGTTTGTTTGTTCCAGAGCAGGCTCAGACCATGGCAATTCAGAGCTCTCCATGGCTCTCTCCACTCTACAGTCCAGCCAAGCCTCCAGCAGCTTGTTATGAAATATCATCTGATCATGGGGAACACAGAGCAATTCCCTGTATTTTTTGCTTGCAGATTTCTGTATCCAGAGTGCTTTTAATTCCAGCAAACATCCTACCTGGTTTCTTTGCCCCATAGGTAAAGAAACTATATGGTTAACTTGGCAATAAGATTTTCTACTGCTAAGAGCCATGTCAAAATTAGGCTCTCTCAGTTCATGGTTATCTCAGATAACAGATGAGATAATAACACCTCAAATCCTTTGATTATTAAAGATGTGGCATTATTCTTGTTCCCCTTTTTGCTACTTCATTTTTTCTAACCCCAGATGCAAGTTCCTATTTCAATAAATATCTGAAGCTATCTCAACACAATCCCAAAGTCTTCACCTGTTCATTTTTCCCTTTGGTACCACTCACTGCTAGAAATTATGAGATGGTCTGCTCCCAGAAAAACCTCTTCCCAAAATAAGCTACAAACCTGAAAAATAAAAATTTAATATATCCCTTCCAAAGCTCTTCTTCCTCTTCACTATAATGAATATAAATTTATAATCACTTCTTGAGTTAAGCTATCTGGGTGCCAAAATCCACACGTGGAAGTGACTCAGAAAGGATTTAATTGTTAGACCATTAGTATGGTTTGTTTCCTGCATTCATTTTTAATGGATGCTTTGTAGTTTGGAGCAAAGTCTGGAACCCAAAACAGGGAAGAAAGCTGAGCTAAGAGACTCCTGAAAAGGAAAATCTAGCTGCTGTCAGACCCTACCATTACCAGACTCTGCACTGCCTTCATTTTCAGAAAACAAACCTGACCTAAAAGCCTCTGGCTGAAGAGAAAGCAACCACATGGAATAATACAAATTAAGTTCCTAAGCAAAGTTCACAAGCTTCTCACTCTCACAAGCCCTTCCAGTCACGGAGCAGCTGACTCAATTACTCCAATTACTTTAATGAACTAGGTTCTCACAAGTGATGCTGGATGGAAAGTGGAGGGTGGAATGAAATCCTTTCAGCACTGTCATTTAGCTTGAGCAGACACTGCCAAAAATATTTTAGAGCACAATAAAAGTAACTGCCTTTTGGAGAGTGTACAGAATAATACATTTATCTGAATTTCTCCAGGTTCTTTAGTCTCTCCTTAGCAGCAGCCCTGAGAGAGCTTGAGTCTCATCCCAAAAAGTTGGTAATGAACACAATAAACTTCTGAAAGAAAGTATTATTTTCTGAAAACCACACCGCTCCTCTTTCAGACACCAAATGCCTTTCAGGAGACAGAGATGCAAACCCTCTCCTTCAACACTTGGAGTAATGAACCAGATCTAACATACAATTCCACAAAGGGCTTTCAGTGGGAACTCTATTATTGTAACACCTAGGGAAATTATTTGCTATCTCTTAACATTAACTTATTCCTTCAAGTGTGAAATGGTTTGAAAATGGCTATCTGGCTAATGGTGCAAGGCTCAATCATTAACTAACATTGACTCCTCCTAACTGACACCTGCCAACAATGAATGACAGAAGCTGCAGAAATGTGCAGGTGCAAGCAACTGCTCCGGGGCTTTTAAGAACATTACGCTTAATTCATAATTTTGGAGTAGAAATGTAACTGAAAGAATGTGGAAGTGGAGGAATGAATGTACTCACCTTGTAATAAAACAGGTAAAGCCCAAGGAAGAGACTGTAGAGATCTGAAGTCAGAACCCCCAGGTTGACAGTGGTTGCGCTGGTAACTTTAATCACAACTGGCATGAAGTTGTACAGCCCAAACATGCACAGGGCAAAGGCTACGAACAGTAGCGCTGCAAAACAAGGTGACACGTTACTCCTCAGCCACAGAACTATGACTTCATAGAGCATTGATATTTTTCAGATGCCTTAAAACTATGCATTTTTATCTCCTAAAAGATTTGGGAATGTACATGTAAGAGAAGCATGAAAGATTGCCTTGTATTGCAAGAATTACTGTATCTATACAAGAAAGTATAGAAGATATATAGATATAGATGCAGATATAGATATATGTATGTATATATACAATAAAGTTCTTCTTCATTCCTACATAAGAGCTGACTGAAGAAATTTAGAGCCACACTTCTTGATAACGTTTAGTTCTGTTCAGGTCAAAATGTGTCAATTTTTCCTGTACTTCATTTAGGAAGAACCACAGAAGAATGGTCTTGTGATGTTTCAGCAACAAACCCGTCAGTAATTAAACAGGTTTCATTTTTCACTTATTTCAATTTATTCTGAAAAATTATTTCAAGTTATATGTAAAATGCAAAACCTGTTTTAATGTTCAATCCTGCAGACCCTCTCTCTTTGCTGAGCTGCAAAGTTTGAAGAAAATAAACTTGTGAAACACAGTATTAATGCTGCTTGCTATTCAGACAAAGAAAAGCCCCACTATTCAAAGTCTAAGTGATTATAATTTTCCAGTGTTCTGTAACATGCACATTATTTTGTCATACACATACCAATTTTCCAGTTCCACTGAATTTTCATTATCTCTTTATGTTCCACAATGGCTCTAGAGTTAGAGAAAAGACATAATACAGTAAAAAAGGAAAAAATGATACTAAAATAGAGAATTTAATTACCAAATATATAAGAAACTTTTCATCTATAAGCCATTCATTTTTTTGTTTCAAATTTTACTGAATGAGACTAGCTCAAACATCTAACAAGCATGAAAAAGACATAAAAATTAAAGTGCCTGAAAGTCAAGAGCACTGTTATTTAATTCTTATGCCTTCTTCACAGGCGTTTTAATTCTTCAGCAATTCAGTTTTATTTGATATACCATTTGAGGAAATTATTAACTATAATGATGAGAAATGAGGACTATATAATTCATTAGACAGACTTAAGTGCATCTGGGCTGTTACTCAAATGTGGTTTTTTGTAAGAGTATACATGCCTTCATTTTAAACTTGAGCTTATTATGGAAGATCTCCTGCTAACAATTATCTCCTAATCTTTTCCACAGAGAAAATTCTTTAAGAAACACAGTCCTGTGAACAGTCCTCGACATATTGAGTGTCCTCACAAACATCAACTAAATAAAAAATCCAGCCAAGTATCCTATGTGTTCAACTGCAGGAGTTCACCTTTAGAACTGCTGAAATAGGAGTAGTGCAAATAAAAACGATATAAAACAGATGCTGATCAGTAACAAAAATCAATTCAAGTGGAAGGACTCTCATATAGGCCACATACAAATGCAACAAAGAATTTAACAACATCATTTCAGGGTATACAAGCAATCATCTGTAGTATATTCTTAATTAGTTTTAAAATAAATATTAAATCCTTACAGCTGTAGACCGCTGATAATAGTCCCAAACAAGCCCACCATTCCTAGAAACTCCACTCTGCTCAGATTTTTCACAATGTATTCCTCACCCACATTAGAAATGGCATACAAAGAAGCAGCAAGAAGCACTAAGACATCTCCAATCACCACGTCACTACCTGTACAGAAATATTAATCCACAATAAGGGTAATGCCGCAAATACTTTTTAACTTTCCTTAAAAAAGCAAACAAATTTATCTTGAACATCACTATCTTCCTAGCTCATTCCAGGGGAAGGGGGAAGGAAACCTTTCCTGTGTGTGCAGAGTGTCCGAGCACAGACTCTGCTGCCTGCTCACCTCACCCTGCACAGTGTGGAGTCAGCTAAACCCAGCATTTACATCTCATCCCAGCCAAGACCCTGCTGTATCCTCTGGTCCAATCCTACTTCTGCTGACCTCAGGCACTGTAGGGAATTGAGCAATCCCATTTAGAGATGCTCTCTGCATTTCGAGAATATTGTCCCCACTTTTGCAGTAAAATAAAATTCAAGGCTTGCTAAAATCAGCCTATTGATTTTGGAGGGACCTGGATTCAGCTTCAGGTTTAGGACATGCCCTAAGTGGGCACTGCAGAGGGATGGTACCGTGTGTCCTGCTGCAATGTATTTATACTGCAAACGGGACTCCCTGGGCTACCATCACTCATCATTAAATGTCTCTGTGCATCAGCTAAATAGCAAGAAGATCACTGCTGCTTAAATCCTTCGATTGGTTTAAAATTTCCTTCCCTAAGCAATCACTAAGAAAATATGTAGAAAATATGAGAGTAAGCAGCAGTAAGGATCCCCAAGTCAACAAATAAAGCACAGCTTCCTATGTCTCAGGGGAATATTCTTCTCCCTTCAAGATACTTGTACCACATAGCAGTAAAGCTGAACTTCAGTTTGTCTTATATCTTACTACAGTAAGGCCCCAAAATAACAGCACACATTCTTATCTCTACGCTGCCTGATGAAGGCAATGCCCTGAAATTTACCTTCTCTCATAGCCTCTGGCTCTGAAAATTCAAAATTCTTATTCAAAATAAGAACACTAAGACAGAGGTTGATTTAGGCATCTGTGATAGAGAGGACAAGACCTGCCCTTATCTGCACCCTGCTGGCTCCTGGGCCCAGAGCCCAGCCTCCCTCACAGAGGTCCCTGGAATCCCTCAGAGGAATCCTGGCATCCTCCTCCACCTCCTCTTGCACTCCTGTAGTAAGCCCCCGCTTTCTAGGCTGTGACCCTGGGGACACACGGACCATTTCTGCTGGGTCTGCCAAACAGAACTCTGAGAAGTCAGCTGCTGTGAGCAACTTTTTATGCATTACTTGTACCCAGAGAAAATTGCAAATCAGAAAAGTCTAGCTGCCAGCAGGTTGATACTGTAAAAACAAGATAAAGTTTGCAGGCAGAGGCCACTTCTTCTATTAAACCGTCTCACATGACAGTCAAAGTGAACAAGCTTTCAGGAATGAGACTTTTCATCACATTGTCTAATGAACAGCAGCAAAATTTAAACTTAACACAAGCGGGTTTTTTTTTAAGGTGGTAGAAATTTCCAAACACACAAAGAAATTCCACAGCTCCCCATAAAACCAACATCTCCTCTTCCCGGACAAGAAATAAAAATAGCAACGTGTTCTCTTTTAAAACAGAACTGTATCTGCTACTATTTCTGCTTTACAAGTTCCTGTCCACAGCAGGAACCATCTCTTTGCTCTTCCCCCCGACAATAAAGGACTCCTTACCTTCACCTTCCTCCCTCCCTGACAAAATGTCTGCACCCACCATTATTCCCACACCCAGCAAACAGATGGCAACAGCAACAAAATGTATCAGTCTGTATCTTGCTCGGAGAAGGAACCAGGACAAAGCCATCAGCACGGGAATCCCGAAACAGTCGAGGAGCTGTGTGTACAGAAAAATTGTTTGAGTTAGAAAGCCACCCCAAATCTGGACTGCAGCATCCTGAAAGCAAATGCACAGGATCTTACTTCAAATCATCAGACATTAAGGAAACCTGCAAAGCAGCCCCAGCAGAAGAGAGGAATGAGAACTGTATTTCACTATTAAAAGCATTTTGCAAGTGAAGGAGGAGCTGGAACAGGGGTCCACTTTCTCTTGGTAGGAAAGCACTGATTTAGAAACTCTTCTAATGATGGATCTAATCAATCTTGGCAGCTTCACAAATGAATGCTAGAATGCTGCTCTGAAACAGCATTGCTCCCTGGAGCTCCAAGTACACAAAGCAAAAATATGGAACTATTGATGGGTACAAGTAATCTAATTTTACAGTAACATGACTGTGACAAGGACCTGACCCTGCAGCTCTGGGTTTGATACTCTGACTTATCTTTCCTTTCTTTATTTTTTCTGTAAAAGTTTCTAGGTATCTTTGCTTCAATGTTAGACCCACTCATAGAATAACAGAACTGCTTGGATTGGAAGAGATCTTAAAGTTCAGCTAGTTCCTACCCTCCTGCCATGGGTAGGGACACTTTCCACTCAACCATTCCAACCTGGCCTTGGACACTTCCAAGGATCTTCTACCTATTCCCCTTCAGGACAGGAAGCTGCAAGAGTTAGCTGTGTACTTAATACAGAAGAACATACACTGCAGCATCAGATGGGCATACTGTTCTAAAATAATCAAATACCATCAAGACCACTGGCTTAGTATTTAATTCAACAAAATAGATTTTGTTTCTGAATTTGTGAAAGGAAAGAAAAGGTGTATTTTCTGACCTGTCTCAGTAGAGTGCCACAGAACTACCTAAGGGAACAGCCTACAGCAGAACGTACAGTCAACTTCCCAAAGATTCCTGAGAAATTACTCTCAAATGTCAGCCATTAAAACTTGGTCTCTTGAAGCCCCAACAATATATGTTCAGATCAGTAGGACTGGGCTTTAATCCCTGCAATCAAGACAAGAGCCCTTAGTTCTTAATGTTTACTTCCAGACTCTGCCTGCCTCAGTGCACCACTGCAGTCAACTTCTGTGCTGTGCCATTTCCCCAAGCGCTTCAACCTAACATTAAACTTGTTAACATTTTGATGATAAGTCTAGTTCTACTTGTTCATAGCTATACATAAAGTCTTAGAAGCATAGTGCTAAAAGCAGCTATTAAAGAGTAAATCCTAACAGTGCCTCTAATCCTTCCATATGTTTGTCTTTGCGCCTTGGATTGCCTCCAGCTTGTCCAGTTTGTAAAATCTCTGAAGTGTAAAAGTACTTCTTCAGGCTGTATTATGAGACATTACAACTACATGAGTCCCACCATGTGATACCAAATATTTCAATACAACTTTACACCATGGAAAATATCACACTATGACCTTCTGTCTTGTCACAGGTCTTGTTTTCCATCTTACCTTTAGTCTAGACTCGAGAAAACCTCTAACATTTCCTTCAAATTTGACCGTTTTGACTGGTATCAAACAACAGCAAATACTACAAGCATTAGAAAGCAAAATTTTTACCCCTCTGGTGGTAGATATACTATCAGAGGGGTAAAAATAGGCATACCTCTTCTACTAGTAAGTAAGCTTTCACTTCCCATTAACTGAGATGTTAGCATGTAGCCTTCCAACCTCCAAGCAGTTTTTCGACCCAAACTGAGAAAAGAGTAGAAACCCTTTAAAAAAAATCTTAATTAGGATGTAAGGGAGTAGTACATAATGAGCCAAAAGCTCTTTCACTAATGCAAGATGGGGAATTGCTGCATCCAGACCAAGAACACCCTGGAGAACCAGAGCACCATGGTTAGAGGACTTGCAGCCAGGGCACAGAGGCACCAAATGATGGAGAACACACTCTGGTAATCTGTTCCAAGAGACAATTACCCTCAATTACAGACAGATGAAATCAGATTTCCAACTACTGGATTTTACCTTCCCTTCATCTAGTACATTACAGAGCTCTTCTGTACAGGATCAAGATCAAAGAGGTGCAAAGCAGACGTAATATCACGATGAATTGTGTCAATGGAATAAAAAAATTTAAAAATAAAGTTTATTTATTGAGGTTTTACAACATTTACAGCAGTACTGTGGTACTGACTACTATTTCCAGTAGAGCCTCTCCAAACTCTCATCTTATTCAATTCTAGCATGTATTTTTAACAAGGGTGGGGGAAACCAGAAAACCTGGTGATTTGATTTACAAATGTTTTGACTCAAGCCACATTTTGGCCACAATGTTTATAGGAGGTTTTAAAAGCAGGGTAAATTATTAAAAGACGTTTTAATATAATGGTTAATAAATTATCATAGACAGTTGGAGGTCATTGGTTTGCTTATAATTGCCAGCCTCAGACAGCTTTGTAAGCAAGAATGCTCAACTGCTAATCTTGCTCATTCCCCACAAGGCTCCATAAGGGCAGCCTCCATCTGAGCCCCAGGGGCTCATCCTATGTTTTCTCCTATTGAGGCTAGCACTCTTCCATCAGCTGACAATCTGTCAACAGTTTCCTGAAAAACATTTCTATCTGAATTATCTACAGAGTGAATGCTAAATGTGCCAAATAACATCTTAAAAACATCAAACCACAGCTACACTGCTTGTTTTTTGATATAAATCACACAATTGTTAGCACAGACTATCCTGAGTTGGAAGGCACCTATGAGGATCTTTAAGTCCAACTCCTGGCCATGCACAGGACACCACAAGAGTCCCACCATGTGCCGGTTGCCCAAATGCTTCTTGAACTCTGTCAGGCTTGGTGCTGTGACCACTTCCCTGAGAAGCCTGTTCCAGTGCCCAACCACCCTCTGTGTGAAGAACCTTTTCCTGAGAGCCAACCTGAACCTCTCCCAACTCAGCTTCATGCCATAATAGGAGGTCAAACTGCAGCACAGGCAAGTCTGCCACAGGAAAAAAAGACACTGGCAGCAAGGAGTATGCTGGCACTGGCTCAGCCACAGACAAACAGTTCAGTTGTGGACCAAAGTCTTTGTCTGCATCTACTGAGAAATGACAGCTGTCATCCCACTGTTATCACCCTAAAAATCTCCAAACCCTTCCTGTAAAATGCTGGTATTTGATAACTAAAGGGAAACCAGTTCTGCCTGTGTGTGCATGTGTGAGAAAATACATGGAAGTTCCTTGCTGAGCTGAAAAAAAACTTATCTTTGAAGCTACATTTCATAGTGGTGAGCTGAAGCTCCAGCCAGACAGCATTTCAACAATGATTACACTGCATTTGGGAAGGTGCCATAAACCCCTGTGTTGTTTTTATGGTCCCTGGCCATTCACTCACAGCCAGTACCGCAGACAGGCCATCAGGCTGTGTGCTCTGAACCACAGGTACTGATGTAGCTGCAAAATTGCTTGCCAAAAACAAAAAGAAAATGCTCTGCACTAGAGCAAATCACAGGCTTTTGTTGTGGGTTTTTTTCCCCTGTATCTCATTTCTGACAATGGAGAGAAATTGGTAACTTCAGAGAATGTGCAAGAAACCTCAGGGCAACAGGCAACTGCAAAAAAATCACAATTACTGAACTGACACAAAGCAGCATCAGTTACAAGCTTTACAAGAGGGAAAAAGGCTCAGAAAATGCTTGAGTTTTTTGGACAGGACAATCTATTATATATATCCTTTCTTAATTTCTATGAAAGAAATCATGGGAATAGCTTTTGCTACTTCTGAGAACTTGGATCAAAGTCCTGGCTTCTTTAGCTGTAAAAAGGTCAAACTGTCTCTCACTTACCAGCTTAACTTGGTCTTGAGACTGAAACAAGTCACTATTAAAACTTTTATTTCTTAGGCATTATTTGTAAGGAGATTAAAGACCTAATGAGTCATAACACGTAAGTATGCAGTGGAAATGTGACAAAATAACCCAAGAGACACAACCAGTCTTCAGCAGCGCAAAGAAAATTTACTGCAATTCTCTAAAGGGAGCCCAGACTGTAGGAGTTTATTGCTTTACAGGTAATTCTCTTAAATATTAACCCCTATTATTATGACTCTGTAAAACACTGACTCCTTTCCAACTAACAGCCAAGTCTTCATGTTACTTTTTTTTTTTTTTTAAATTCAGTAAGTGGGGCCATGACCCCAGCCACAGATCCCCACCACTGGTAACAGCAGGCATGAACTGGCACAACATGGACACATTCCCTACTTGCTCCTGCAGCATCCTCTCCCTTATTCCCACAGCAGCTGTGAAGTCACACAGGGAGTTAACTTGGGCCTGACACAGCTCACTAACAGTACAGCCAAAGGCAAGGTTTACTCCCACTTTGCTCAGTGCTCTGGGTTAGTTTCTTCAAGGAAACTGGCCCTGCAAGCTCAGGAGACTGCAGTTGGATGCAGGAGGAAAGCACTGACTGATCCAGCAGCTTTTGTCTGTGTAATGTGACAAAGAAACCCCAGCTTTAGCCCTTCTGTTTATAGAGCTTTTTCAGAACACCAGATTTATCCTAGTGCAGCAATGCAGCATCAAGCACTGGTGTGCAGAGGATGTCTACCATTACTTTATTTATCCTGACCTTCCTTCCACCTCTTCCAGAGAGGGCCCAAAACTGCCACACCCAAAAGCCACAAGGCTGGTACCCCCCTGCATGAGCAGCAACACCAGCTGACATTCACTGTGTCCTCACAGGTGGGGTTGCATCTCACAATGCCTCCTGCATTTTCTAGGAGCAGGCAAACTATCCACCTCATCGTCATCAGCAAGAACCTGCACTGAGTGACTGTATCTGGTCATAAATCTTTATTTTGTGTCAGGATTAAAAACTGAGTGGCTGTCAGCAAACTCTTAGAAGTGCTTTTATCAAATAATTAGGGTTCAACTCAAGAGCTGGCACAGCTCTACCAGCCAATCTTCTCTGCTTCCTGGAAAGGTTATTCATGATACAGGATGCTCTTCCCTGTACTGCAGAGAGAAAAGAGATACTGGAAAGTTTTTTTTCAGGCTTAAATAGCTTCCATGTCTGTCCTATGAATCTCATTTTAGAAACCAGTCCAAAACTGTAATAGAAGCAACAGTTCAAAAAGAGAGATTGGTCCTTACCTGCACACTTGTGAGGGTTGTATATTGGTAGGCTTTTACAATCGTGTAATTGGCTTCAACATCAGCCAGTCCCAAAATAATATACTTCCACCACCTCTGTTTCAAAATCTGCCAGAGATTGTCATTGCCTGTTTAGAAGAAAGCAGCAATCAATATGTGTTTCTTTCCAACTAAATGTTGCACGGGAATTTTGCTTTTTAGAAGCATAAATAATACCAAGATTGATTTTGCCTGCCCTCACTGAAGATACAATAACAGGAAACACAGCTTGGGAGGAGACGATGCAAATGGTGAAAAGCACAGAAATTCTTCCACATGAAGCAAAACACAGCAAGACTAGAGTTGTCTAAAGAGTAAATTAATAAGAATAGGAGGAATACTAAATAGCCTCTGGTAACAAAGCATGTTAAAACAAAGCTTATTTTTCCTAATATAACATATGTCTTCAAACCAAAGAGCACAAAACTCTAAACAGATACGACATTGTATCAAATTAAATCCACATTTAACCCTGTGAAATTAATTTCCATGTGTTGCTATAAAGCAGGAACTTTAAAAACTAGTATGAGTATTGAGGTCTTTATTTTCAAATTCTGAAAGGAAAATGTAGAAAGAAAAAAGAAAGATGAACAAGAATCTCCCATCCCGTATTTCACATACCAGTCCTAAATACCAGCATTGTTGTATAAACTAGAAGCAGCAAAAAATAGTTGATGAAACTTTGCAACATTGGAGTATTCACTTGGTATTTGTCTGCCAGGTACTGGCTTGTAACAGCAGTCCCACAGATAAACAAGGAGAGCATCTGGCCCAGAATTACAGTTTTCCAAATATGCCTGTGAACATAAAAGACAAAACAGTAAGGTTAGAATTAAACATTCAAGTTTCTAAAAAAATATTTTCTAGTTTTACAGGAAAAATGACTTTTTTTTGGACTGACACTTTTATTTTTTTCTACTCCCTACCAATACTGTCCTGTAACCTACAGGTAAGCAGGGTTTTGTGTACACAGAAGGTCTAGCCTGACCTCAGGGCAGCCACATGAGAAGTGAGGCCAGCTCAAACCACCAGCCACGGAGACTGCAGCTACTTGAAAGGATCTTCAAAGAGGTCACCTGGGCAGGCTCTACCCAATAGCAGGTCCAACTCTTATTAAGCAAGTTTTGAGTTAAATCCTTTGTCCTCCACTGAATTCCATCCTGACTGATCAACAAAAGATCTACAACATGGAGATAAAGCACAACTACCTTTAGGCTTGTCTGAGACCCGAGTTTTAGTGAGCTGAGACCTTAAAATGAGCAGTGGTAAAGGAACACAAAAGTATTAATGATAAAAACAAGTAACAGCTGAGTTTGGAAGGCTCTTGAAAGATCACCTGGTCCAACCCTTCCTGGGAAAAGGAAGCTCAAGGAGACTATTCAGCACCCTGTCCAGTTGCATCTTGCAAACCTCCAGTGATGGGGACTCCACAACATCCCTGAGGAGGTCGTTCCAGTGATTGCTTGTTCTCACCATAAAATATATCTTTCTTATAATAAGAATTATTATAATTAATACTAATCGTGGATTTTTCCAGTTCTACTGCATCATATTCTGCTGCAACTGAGGATGGAGTTAAGAATGCATTTTGGGCAAGATCACATTTGAATTTACAGCTCTTCTTAAGTCGCACCCACAGCCAGCAGGGACAAAAAAAGGAAAAAAAAAAAAAGCTCATGCTCTTTTAGTAGCAATTCTTCACTTAATGTAAGACGAACTATTCCAGATGCTCCTAGACAAACAGGAACATGTAACTCTATGGGGTTTTTTTGGCTTGCTCTTTCCCCTGCCAGTGGAGCTATGCTAATTTGTACCACCCCAAGTCTCTGCACATGCACAATATACAGTGACAGGAGCTCAGCCCTGTGTTGTCTGTACAGATCTGCTAAGTTCACATTTAATCTGTTTACTCTGAAGACCACTGATGACAATTTAACTGTCTGCACAATCGATTAATTTGTTTCCACTCAAATTAATCGTGCAAGGGAAGAAAGGACCTCATTAGGATGCTGCACCTACCCTGTGCCCACATCTCCCCACGTGTGTCAGGCACGCCACCTGAGAGTATCACTGGCTGTCTTCCCAAGGTGGGTGACCCCAACACAGTAAGCACCAGCTCCCCCTGCTGTGCTGTGCAGTGCAATCCAGCTGGCAGGCAATGAGAAGGGTGTGTTTGACAGTGCTAAACCCAACCACAATCATGCAATCAATCCCTCCTTTTGGAAGGGAAGCATTTTCCTTGCACAAACTCTAACGCACCTGAATGAATCCTGTTTTCAATTCAGCCTGATGCCACGCTCTTCTGACTTTGAAAATGCTGCTGGGCACATTTTTCTCTCCAAGTTCATTCTGATGAGACAGCAAATCTCTACAAAGTCCAGCCACACTGTACTTCCAAGAGATTTGAATCCCATGCTTTACTACAGCTTGCCTTGTCAATCCCAGGAATGGTGCACATTCACACTCTGATTGTTATATATCATGTGACAATCTTGTAAGGTACTGACCAGTCTCATCTGAGTAACTCTTACTGGTGTGTGAAAGAAAAACACTCTCATTTCTGAACAGATTTCTAAAATGCATATGGTGGGGGGTGGTGGGTGGTTTTCATTAAAAACAGCAAGAGAAAAAAATGAAGCAACTTCACTTCTGTTATATTTTAACTGATTTCTTTTTCATTTCTTTATATTCTGGTCAATGGCCTATGCTATTTAATGAACAACTCAGACACATTCTGGCTAATTATTCTGGCTGATGCAGAAATATCTTTTCACGGTCATGTAAAGAATTTAATCAGTTGCCATTAGAACAAATGTGATGCACATTAGCTAAAATTTCAAGCAGGCATGAGGATCCCAGCTTGCCCTTTGCCAGCCCTACAAACTCTGGCTCATTTGCAGCAGGTAAAATGACAGAAGACCCACTGAAATTCAAAGGAAGATACACTGCGGTGAATAACATACAAAAACATGTTTTCAGGTATTTGAAAAAATACACATATACTTTTTATTATTCAAATAAAGCTTCTTGCTCCCAACTAGCAGAAAAATGTTTCTTCTTCACCACCAGCACTCGAGGAACACAGCAAGCCTTTAGCAGTTTATTGGACTAAACTCACCCTGCACTTGGACTAGCTCGGAGGAAAATGTGAAGGTAAGGGATTAGACAGAGGCATGACTGGGCAAAACTGCTGCAGTTTTACTGGAGCAAAGCCTGTGTGCTGCACAAAATGAACTGCACTCGTCAATAAGCTACCAGGAGAGGTCAAAGCTGCCTTGGCTGGCAGAAGCCCTAATCCAGACACAAACTCCCCTCCACTCACCTGCTGGGTGTTGCCAGAGAAGGGCAGAAGCACAGGCAATACCACCCCTCAAGGTTGTTTAAGGAGGCTCCTTGAACATGGACTTTTGTGTGGTAGGGCTTTAAACATTTTTGTCTAGGATATGAGCTGCAAGGGGCATCTTTGCTCCTCCTGAGCTACAGCGCCTTCTCTACAGCAAAGGCCTGGACTCTGCATGCAGCATTCCGGCAAACTGGATAGCGACCTTGTTCCAGTGAGAGGGTAAAATGGGGAAAACCTGCTGCCATTCAAATTTGTTAACAACTGAGCTGCTCCAACCATCGTTTACTGAAAACACGACAGACGCATCTGCCCTCTTCAAGTGGAGTAACTCCACTAAACTGATCCTCAGCTTTTCTAATGACCAAATTTCCCCAGTTCAAAGCACCTAAGGAATTATCTCCTTGCATTTCTACAGAGGCAGGTCCAGAACCTCCAGAACTGTTTGCTTTGTGGTTACTGCCCTATTGCTATTTAGTTAATATATGTCTTGGCAGTACTACAGCATTTACTTCTACTGTAACAAAGGTGTCTAACAAAGCAAGCAGGCTTCATCACACCTCATGCCTGTCTCTATTTTCGTCTATTTTAATTCAAGGAATTTTTTCTTGCCTGAACAGATTCAAAATCTTAACATCAAAAATCACACAGAAAGACTTCGTCTTTAGTGGAAAACTGCCCTCAAAAAATTTCTTCTGTGAATCCCAAAATGCTCTGTACCTGGCAGCTTTCCCAGCTATGTGTAAGGTGACACTTCTTGCCCTGACTGCTCCCCAATGCCAGGTGCAGCAGGAAGCAGCAATGGTTTCTCCTCACACCATTTACCAAAGCAGGAAAAATAATTTCTTCAAATTGAGATGACATCATCATGCTCCTGGCATGATGCACTGGGCTCATGGCTTATCTTAAAAAATATGTTTGATCTTCTGTAAAACTTGAGAGCAAACTTCAAATCCTGTTTGCATTTTGCATGAAAACTTCTTCTGAGAAAAATGCTTTAAAGACACAAGTTTCCATTCATTTTGTTATTGATATGAGTATCGATGACAGTGACTTTCTTATTAATAATTGATCAGATTTTGAAACATATTAATTATTAACATTTCCATGCCAGAACTTAATCCTCTCAGCTTTTTTTTTTTTTTTTTTAATGCATTGGAAAAGACTAATTCACTTTGGAGTCTCAGATGATGCAAGTGATCTGAAAATGCCTTTTGTTTCATAGATGGGGGGCAGAGGTTATTGTTGGCTTTTAATGCTTGGTAGCAAGCTACTAAGTAATTAGTCCCCTCCTCCCTTCAGCCACCTTAACTTAGCTAGCTGTATCTATGGCTTTGAGCAAAACTAAAGTAATTTTGGGACTTTCTAGAGCATGAAAGTTTGCCATAAATTGGTCTAAAGTGTACACTGAGCAATGTGCAGCTCTCAACATCCTGAGAAACTCAGGCTGGCTTTCCTTGGCTCCATGTGAAATGCAGAAAAAAAAAGACACCAAGATACTAAAATACAATTTATATACGAGGAAGTTAAAGAAAATTTAATAATACCACAGTTCACAATTTTACTGGCAATTAGTTTAGTAAATCCTGTAATTTTAGTGTGAATTTTTAATTCATAATAAATACAGCTATTCAAATATGCATTTTATTTATGCCATCAATCTAATACCAACATGGGAAAGCCTGGCAACACTGTTCATGTACAGAGTGTATTTGCACTTAGCTTTATCTACTGAACCCTTCCTAAACAGGGGAGGAAGTGACCTTTTAATTTCAATGATCTCACTTTTTCATGCTAGTGCTTAAGGCAAAATGCAGGTTCAGACCGAATCCATACCGTAACATAATTAGTAATTAACTAAGAAAAACAGAATATATTTTTAAGAACTAACATCATCAGAAGTTAGTTTTTCCATGTTCTGCTTTGAAACTGACATCAATTTAACTTGCAAAAGGTAAAAACCAGTAAAGAATAAGAAATATATTTTCTAATGGTTCTACTCAAAAAAAAAAAAAAAGGCAGGAGAAAAAACCCACAACAAAACCCAGAACCAGCCTAGTTTATTACATACAACTATTAAACCTTCCTATGACTCAGAAAGGCCTCAAACACTCAAACAAAACTGAAGTGGCTGAGCCTGCTGTCACCTGGAGGAAAAAAAAAATAAGAAAAAATATCAATTCAGTATCTCAGACAACAGTTCTTAAAATTCAGTGAAAGCTATTGATTTTCTTTCAAATACCTTCCATAGACTCACTTAGTGTAGCCTTTGGCAAAACAAACAGCATAGGTGAGGTTACTGAACAACTCAGCAAGTTTCTATCTTGCCTTCTGGGTCTCTCCTCACAGGCATGAGGAGTGAAAAGAGAAAAACTTATAACCAAAAGAGAAGATGAGATTTTGTCCACTTGAATAAGGCTCTTCTTGGCCAGCATACACCATCACCAGCAACCAGACTACAGTTCATGAGCACGAGGCTGGCAGGAAAGCCAGCACATCTTCGGCTGAGAAATCCTATGCAGTAACTATGAGTGACCAAACTTATAGCTCAGAAAAAGCCTTTTAAACAGGGACTGTTTTCCCTCACTAGAGGAAAAGCGAAACTGTAAATGGATGGTCTAGAAGTCTGAGGATGCAGTCCTGATCTCATGGAAGGCAGTGCTTCTGAAGTAGCAGCTTGTCTGCACAGCTTGGCAGATGTTTTTCCACAAGTTTTCCATGCTTAACTAGTGCTCATATTTCAAGAGATATACTGAACGAGTCTCTATCCTAAGCTGATTCACGGAAGGAGGAAGTGGGGATATCGGTCTTTCTGGACTCCACACCTCGTTTCACTTATTTTGTTCTATTACTTTTGCTATCCCCCATGACCTGTCCTTCATAATGATGGAAAACTACAAAACAGATGAAGTGCAGGGGAAAAAAACAGAAAACAGAAGAACAAAAAAGACAAATGCATGTGTTTATGTGTGAGACCACAGTTCTACTTCAACAGAATCAAAACGTCACTCGCTAATTCCAGGCTCAGCCGAAGCGACCCTGAGCGCTCCCGCCCAGCAGCATCCGCAGCCGGCAGCTCGGCGGCGCTCCCGGAGCAGCCCCGGCACCAGAGCGCTCGCTCCCGGGGCAGCGGCCAGAGCTCCCCCGGGCTCCCCTGTGCCGGGCGGGCCGAAGGCTCCGGGCTCTGCTCAGCCCCGCGCACCCCCGCCCGTAACCGCGGGCCCGCACCGCGGCGGCCGCTCCGGCCCGGATTCCCCGCGGCCGCTCCCGGCGGCGCAGAGCGGCCTCCGCATCCCGACCGCGCTGCCCGCCGAAGGGCCGAGAGCAGCGCGGACGCTTCCTCTCTCCTCCCGTCCTTCCCCGCTCCGGCGGGCGGCCCGGAAGCCGGCGGGCGCGGAGGCCGGCGCCGCGCCGTTCCACGTGGAGGCCGGGGACTCACCAGGTGCAGAGCTTGGCCCGGAGCAGCGCCAGCAGCCGCCGCGGAGAGCAGGCGGCGGCCCTGGACGATGGCTCGGCCCCAGCAGCATGAGCAGCATGAGCAGCATGAGCAGCATGAGTAGCAGCAGTCGCGGGCGGCGGTGCCCCGACAGCAGCGGCCGCCTCCTCCATGGCGCGGCTGCCCCGGCCCCGCGCCCGCCGGCAGCGGGCAGGCAGCGATGGAGGGCGGGCGCTGCGAAGGCGGCACCCGGCGGAAGGAAGGGATGAGCAGCAGCACCGGGACAGCGGCACACTGCTCCGCAGAGAGCGGCCGAGGCCGGCTTTGTGCCCGCCGAGGGGCCGCCCCCAGGAGGGTCACGGCTACTGCCGGGGCGTGGGATCAGAGCTCCCCTGATGTTGCTTCTCCTGGGCGCGCTCCGGCCCTGCGGTTTCCTTCAGCCGCTGAGGGTAGGTGGGGAGCTTTAGCAGCGCCAACGCCGAGTTTGTGTTCCGCTCTCCCGCGGGACCCCCGGCAGCAGCCCAGCCCGGTGCCCCGGTGCGGGTCCCTGCAGGGCTGCTTTGCCCCCAGCCCCTGCGCAGGCATCGAGCCCCAGGGCAGGCGGGAGCCTGGCAGCAGCAGCAGCAGCAGCAGCAGGTTGCTGTGCAGGCAGCTCAGGCGCATCTGCCAGTTACAGGAGTAACAGCCACTGCACATCCTTCAAGTTCAACTTCTCGCAGCTTTCTACGCAGACTCGAGTCTTCCAACGTTTGAACTCCCACTTCTTTTGCTGCTTCTTTCCCATGCCTCTGGATTTTTCACATTCTGTTTGTTTTCATCCACATCTCAGGGCAACTCACATGGAGAACCTGGTGACATTTTGCATAATTTGGTGGGGTTTATAACTGTACTTCTAATGATGCTCTGTATGGGATGGAATTGAACCCCGAAGGTGTCTCCAGGAAGAGCAACCTTCTGCCCTCATTGGGGCAAATATTTGTCACTGTTCTCGCTGAGCCGGCAGAAAGGATTTTCTGCCACAAGACGCTGTTGGTCTCTACCTTCAGCTTTTCCTCCCAGAGCACCACGATCTAATCTTTCTCCCCCCAACACCATAACTTTTTTTTCAGATATGTTTTTCTCTGTCATAGTTCTCTCATTCAAATTGCATTTATTTCCCTATGATACTCCTCAAATTCATCCATTTAGAAGTCAAAGGGGCATTACTGTGCCATTTTCAGGTTATCTTTACATTTCCACGTACCTGTCATTAATGAAGGTGAATTCTAGTCTCCCCTTTCCCCAAGGGCCCAGGCTCAAATAACCACTAAGGTATAGGCTACATGGGAGAGGACCCCAAATACCCTCTTTCACTCTGTGATGGGCTAATGTTAAAGGTCATTATGAAAGAAAAGCAGTATAATTACATGTTGTAAAAGCATTAATAAATATACTTCTATATTTATAACATACATACTCATTTGTTTATTATACTGAGGTTTTATGTATTTTTTCTTCATTTGTATAACAGAATAGTTTATTGGTATTTTAATTTTGAATTTCTAATCCAATAAAAATCCTGCTCTGACTTCTGCAAGAAATCAGTCTGCCAAGATTAGTCTCAGTGTTGTGATAGTTATGAATCTGGTCATGCTGGTCCTGATTCTTCACAACCTAAACTAACAAAAAGTTTATAAGAAACAGACTTATCAGACCCTATGTATTTTGTCATATCTGAGTTCCACAGCTGTGGTACTCTTACCTTCACA